TGACACCTGATCCCAGCTTGGTTTTTATGGAGGTCCGTGTTTGCTCAGCTCCAACTTTGTATTGTTTAATGGACTTTTAAGATTGAGTACTGTTTTCGTTATTTCCATATACGTATTTCCAGACTGAAATATTAACTTCAAGAAATGAATAAAAATATAAAAAGGGTACTCTTTTATCTGTTTGTTAAAATTATGAATGTATATACATGTATAAAATCAAATATGCTTTTTTTGTTGCAACTACTTGTTTTTTGTTCGATTAATTATTAATTTATTTTAGTGTTTTACTGTGTTCCCTACCTGTATTCTCATTTCTTCACAAGTATACATCCTGTAAGCTTTTTGTTTTGACAACTTTTTGATTTTGATTTTTATATGTCAAATATTTTTGACAAACTGATGATTCTTTGCAACAGTGGATATTCCATTGCCAATTTTATCATACTTTGGACAAAGGAATTTTTTTGTGTTATCATTCCGTTGATCTTCAATCACCTATAATTATGTTATATATTGCCTTTTTTTATTTAATGAATAACAATTCTCACTCAATATTCTCAAGTATAACCTATGCGGTAGCTTAACCAGATCACTAGGATAACATAAATATACTTAAGGAATTTCAAATATATTTAGTGGGTACGCAATACTGATGAATTAACAATGACATCTCAGATAATTTTATTTTTGTCACCCAAATTTTTCCCATAACTTGAAAACTTAAAATTTCATTCCATATTGTGTTTACATAAAATACCTTTTATTCGTCAACATGAGACAATCAGTTATGTTCTCCAGTAGTCTGAGTTCATTTGCAATATTCAGTTTGTGAGAAAGGTCATTTATTCAATTTATCATAAAATATATTTGATCAAATGATGAAATTAATGTTTGATTAACCAAAATTAATTGAATAAATGACAATAAATTTGCAGAGGTGGGGTTAAAAAACCGCCAAACACAAGAAATACATGTACTAACATTATAACATAAGTAAAAAATAATGTAATACAATTATAATTTGAAACACGGGTTAAAAGATATAAATGATAAAAGTACAATTTGTAACACAGGTTTCATAGAATAACATATTCAAGTTGTGAAATGGAAAAAAAAAATATAATAGTATACATGTAATCATAATAAATGTACAAGACAAAAACCAAAAAGGTATAAATTGTTTGTAATTTAGGACAACTGATTTTATATAGATAAATTTTTAGGATGATGGTGGGTGGGTAAATTGAATTCTTGTAAAAATCCAGCAGCTCTTACAAAAAAGTGAATAATTGAGATACCTTTGACCAAGATAAGATTTCAATACTTCAAATATAGTTAATTGTATTAATACGATGGCTATTGCATACACAGTGTCCCTGCCATGCCAGGTTGCAAATTCCATCTGTTGACGCGTAATTATTCACCAGATGCCAATGATAAATGATACCCCCCACCTACATGTCTGGTGGCTAATTTAAAGATCTTAATCATTTAGGTTATCAATGATGAGTATATAATTATAACAACAGTATCTCATTACAAAATTTGCTGCCAAAAATGTTTTTATTTACAATAAAATAGGTTTTTCTGGTTTTATATCCTTTTTTTTAATTCAGTTACGTGCGATTGAATATGCCGGTTATTTTAGATGTTTGGTTATCCGAAAAATGGACCATATCCTGTTCAAAATTATTAATATTTGATTGGCTAAAACATACAAAAATACATTGACACCTTTCACTATATATGTATAGGACGGTAGGCCTGAAAAATCAAAAGAATAGAACTTGAATTTAGAACTGCAACATTTGAAAAAGAGAGGAAGATGAAGGTAAGATTCTTCGGAAATTAAGTAAAAAAAAAAAGAATAAATCTTTTTAAGGATACTTAAAAGGCATACGTTTATTTTTTTCATTTTTGACGTATTGTTTTTATTAATTATCAATTCTTTTTCTTCTTTTATTTTGAAAAAAAAATACTTATTTTGTTTTAGTTCTTAGTAAATGTAGAAATTACAATTGTTTGTTATTTGGTGTTTTTGTGGTGTGCTTTGTTTCTTCCCATGGCCAGGACACTAAATGTCTTTTAGAAGATCCAGCAGAGAGAGCTATTAATGTGGAAGTCAAGTCCAGACAACTAATGCACTAAATGTAGCTGTCGTATTTTTACTCTCGGCTAAAGTGTACTTGGATGTAAACCCCCCTTTTTCGTCATTGTTTTTGACACTTACATTTAAGCCATAAAGATCTTCAGTGACAGCTAATTACTGATATGTTAAATTGAAAAAACAAAACAAAACTGGATTCGTGATATCTTATCTAGAATATATCTTAAAAGAAAAGGTGTCTCTGCTTTAAAATCATTTTGGTTTTGAAGATATTGCAAAATATAAAAGAAAAACACTAGCATCAAGCTTCTATTGAAAGAAGTTTTTGAACTATCATATGACATTAAAATTGGCATTCTCTCATAATTGAATCTTTAATGAATTTATAACAGTTCATGTGACCACTTTTCATCACATAGTTTCATTGTGAGCAGCTGGAAAACAAGGGCTTTTCGAGATACTGCATTATAAATGAATGGTAAAGAATCGGTAAACTAGAGTGAAAATAAAAGCTTAAACAAAGCTGCTGTAAAACTTGTTAAAAATCCCAAAAAATATTCACTGAAATATGTGACATTTACAGCAACCAATATCTGTTTTATAGACAAATGAGCAGGTGGATTTCAATGATGAAAAATTATATAATGGGCGTCAAAAATGGGTACCGTCCTTGCCAACAAAAAATTATAACACTTGTGTACTGTTTGCCAAATTTCAACAAAAATACTTGATGATGTAGGATTGACTTTAAGACAAATAGCAAATTTGATAGACATCACATCGGGGGTTGTTAACACTGTTTTTAAGAAACGTTTGACGGTAAAAAAGCTTAGTACTCAAAGGTCATCATATATTTTGAAAAATGAGTGAAAACGACAGCGTGTATGAATGTCTTAACAATTATTTTAAAATATCAGTAATTGGAGTTATCCACGTTTTTTGGATATTCAAACAGATAATGGAACTTGAATCTGTTGCTTAAAATCCTCAAAACAAAATTTACCATAAGATGTACTTGACAAAAACAGGGAAGGTCTGGCGAGAGCAAAGAATTGCAAGAGCACAAAGACAGATTTATATGGAATGTTCTTAAATATTAGTGGTCGCGGGTATTGTTGTTCAAATTCGTATTCGGGGAGACAGTTTAATTTCTGGATGAGGCTAGAAAACAATTTTTTTGCAAAAAAATCGAAAGGTTTATTAGAGGAAGGACCTAGAATCAGGAATCCACTACATTAAATTTTTTCATGACAGCGTCAAAACCCGCACGCCCTGAAGAGTAAAGGGGTTTTTCGGGACACACAGATAGTTAATATTTTTTCACATTAACAATACTGGCCAGATCTTTGACCTTTTGACTTATTTCTATTTCCAAACTTAAAAAAAAAAAACACTTTTGATAAGGAAGAAACAAGTCCAGGAAATCATTGGATCTGCCAATTTCCAGTACACCAAGAGTCATGCTCAAAAATGAGTTCTAAAATCAATCAGAAATTGGATAAAAAAGGTTACGGACATGTGTTGTAATTAAAAGAGATTAATAAGTAAAATAATGAAGACAACATCATTGAAAAGCGTCTTTTGCTTCTTTCCGAGCACCGAGGACATTGTTCATTGAACGCCCTCGTAGTAAGGAATATGCTTTTTCTTCTGTAGATTTTCCTCATTATCTTTTCCAAAACAAATTTGTATATATATTTTATAACTGAAACATAATCAAAACATATAGATAATTTATGGAGACATAAACATATTTTTTTTATTTATACAAAATTTTATTCACATAAGTGAATGGGATTGGGCAGCAGGCAAAGCCTATTTTAGCCCTCTCCGTAAGGTCAAGATGAACACACAATATATAGGTATGAAAATAAATAGACAAACATAGTACCAAAGAAACAAAAGAAAAAAAAGTAGAAAGAGAGAAAAAAAAATTACAATGTAGCACCGGTTAGAAAGCGTTTGCAAAAATAACATACATGACAGTCAGTGTCAAATAAAACGTTTGGTTGCTGTGATGAAAGCATGTACTGCTTCAAATATCTGAATATTAATACCTAGTCCATGATTGGGACTACCATACAAAAGTAAATCAAGTAAATCAAGTTCATGAGTTTGATCACAATTCATAAACATATAGGTGTATTCTGTTTTTAAAATAGTTTATTCTTTTTAATTTGACATTTTATCTATGCTCACTACTTTTAGTTTTTTGTCTTCTTTTCATATAATTATATAAAATAGCCACTACATAAAACGTTGAACCTCTTATTGAACACTAAAGTATGATATTTAGAAAATAATATCGGTAATAATTACCGGAGGGTATTTGTGCATCCGTATTTTTTCAAATTTGGTCATTATATACATTTCAATTTACCGTTTAAAAACAAATGTTTGTTATCAGAATGCAGACCGTATCCTGTTCATATGTCAGTTAACTGACTAGATCATAATACACTCCCAAACTGCATTAATACCTTTAACATAATATATAAGAAGATAAATCAGTCATTAATGCAGTGGAACAGTTTGGAAACTGCATCGACTGAAGAAACAAAAGAATTAATACATTAACTATAGCACTTAATTGTGTAAAATTCGGATTAATACATGCATTTATTCACTTTTCTTTTCTTTTCTTTTTTTTACAGAAAGCAATATTTTCGGATATTTGATTTGAAAATAAGAATTCATGCTCAGGACGAGTTTTGATTACCTCATACTTTAGTTGTAATTTTGTGTTTCATTCAGGATGATCATCTATATTGAAATTAATCACTACTCATATGAACAAGAGACTTTTATTATTTTCTCTAAGTCATGAAACATATGGAGATAACGCACATATAATTATATGCATAAACACGTATTTCCTTGGTATTTTTATACAGACTTGGATAGTTGCTATTCTTGTGGCGTGTTTTATTTATTCCAATGGTCAGGAGACTAAATGCCTTTAAGAAGTTCCCACAGAGACAAGATGGTACAACAAAAGCTCAGACAAGTGATATTCTGTAAGTAGTACAAAGACACCCTATTAGAAAGATGGAATTTTTGCTCTTTCAACTTTCATAGGGTCGCTCATTATCTACCCAACTGTTCTCTTACTCACACTTTGGTCATAGAAATGCTCAAGTGATCTAAAAATCTTTTTTTTTTTTTTACACAAAACTACATGCATTTAATTCAGAAAAATATTGTCTAGAAATTAAAATCAATTATATTTCTCGAAAAGTCTCTCTGTTCTATGAAATTTCATGGTTTAATTTTTTTTATCTAGTTGTAAATTATGGGTTTACTTCGGAAAGGTAAATGCAAAATTTACAGCATGATAATAGGTTTCTTTCATATTGTAAATTTTGCATTTACGAGTATATCGTAAATTCGTAAATAATAAAAAAAAAAAAAGAAATAAGCAGCTATAATTGATTTGTTGATAAATATTTAATATTAAATATGTTAAAAAATATATGTTACACTTGTCACAAGAATTTTTTTTTTTAAAAAACCCAAAAGGTTCATACAATACAAAATGAAGTGCATATCTTAAATTTGCCCTGATTGATATAGAACAATCATGCATATAGAACTGTATATGTATACATAATAAAAACACATGACTAAAAATGGCAAAAAGATAGGACTTGATTTTAAAAATATGCTTATACTGATAAGTTATGGACGAATCTAATGTTTTTTTTGGGACCCCCCTCCTAGTATCATCGCTGTGTCCAAAACTGCACAATTACAAAATGTGAAGTATCCTTTCATTGTATCTAGTAAAAAGAATTATCTCGGATATCACAGTATAATTGTTATCAAGGTTTGTAGACACGGTCGTGTGAAGGTATATTAAATTATAAACTTTTTGGCAAATACTGTAAATCATTTATTTAACAACCTAAACTCGTACATGTATATTGTTTTACATCTAGAGCAAAGATCGACGCTGCCTTGAGTGAAGAAACTGCAGTCAATAATTCAGTGAACGAAATATCCGCTCAGAGAGTGGCACCCATCGAAAAGTGAGTCGATTATACATGTATTCAGGATATTATTTATCTCTATTTTCTGTGAACCCATTTTGCATACGTATCATTTTTAGCAAAATTTAGGTTAAGACTTAACAAATGATAATGAATAATTTCAACATGAAGGATTTAAAAATTCGTTCGATTTATAGTAAATACTTTGCCCTTGACACCTGTCCAAGGACACTAGTATCCGTCACCTCACTTAACGTAAACGGCAATGTGTGCTATGTTGTGCGTCCGAGACAACAAAGGGTGACTTATGCAATATGCAGAGGAAGGTAAGATTTGTTTCTAGTCATATATTTCGGTTTTAACGCATTAAGATTTACATTTGTAGGTCAACCTGAAAAAAGTTTCTAAGTATCTTAATGATTTCTCATACCAATGATTTTCAAACATTTTTAACGTATCATTGGTTATAAATTATTACAAAATTATAAATGATGTAAAAACCCCTTTTATTCATCATAATCTTAAACATTATTTATATTTTACTTATTTACCTTTTTTATGATTTTAGTAATTGCTACGGGAACACATTTTACAACAGCCGGTGTTTCACAACCGGATGGACTAAGCTGAAATTTTGGGTGTGGTGTCCAAGATGTGGTTTCCAACTGATCTCCAGGTGGTACCCATAATGCTGTTCTTGCTACAGATGGCGCAGTTGTCTCACAAAAGTATAAATAAATGATAATACTGCTCGTTTAGTTTTATGAAAAAGTTCATGCTTTTATCAACCGTTTTTTAAGTAATGAAGACATTAAGGGAATTTTGTCACTTTCTTTCTCTCAGGATAAAAATTCTTTTACAATTATTGAATAAATTGCTTCCTCTTTTGGTTGATTCTGCCTGTGAAAAATTTCCATTAAGTAGCACATTTCTTGTAAGTATAATAAATATTTTTTGTTGAACTACCGGGATAACACCAGTACGTTATTGTTAGTAGAAATATATTAATTTCAAGTGTTTATAGCAGATCAAACTCTTTTTTTTTCTTCCTTTAAAAATAATAATTTACAAACTCAATAACACCTGGTGAATAGTGAAAAATCCAATATCTTTATTTTGGGCTTTTTGTGTGCGAAAAAGAATTAAGGTTAAGTTATTTACGTTATTGTATGTTCCTGCAGTTTTTATCCTACAAATTATTCTAAAAAATGATGTTGACCTTCACATGAAAATCCATATGTTCTTGTTTTTCCAAATGAATTGAAAAACAAGTATGAGTAGCTTCATAAAGGACCACGCAACATTTATCACTAATGAGAGACTAGTGCAAAATATTATGGATCAGTACTTTATCGGAAGTCAATTTTTGTAGTTGGACGGCAATATAAATAAAAAATGGGCTTATTTTTCTTTTATGAAATTGAAACAATATTTACTTCTTAGACAATTTAGGTGTGCAAAAATATGATTTATAACAACGGAATATGTAGATAAAGGGCAATGTTATACTTTTAAAAATTTGTTCCTATACAAATCTTTACCGAAAAAAGTGTACCATTTCTATGTTTTACTGAGCGGGCAAAAAAAATCTATGTTTGACCGATAAGTGAGATGTTGGACCTGTCGATTAGATGTTGGATCGCTTACGTCAAGCAATGGGCGGAGCTTAAAGCTGACATGAATTCTTAAATACGCAACATTTTCATCTATGTACGACTTGTTTCATACCAACTATAGCCGTATTCCGCCATATTTCTTTCAGATACCTTGTCTCATTGTAACGATGTATACCCCAATGCGCTCGTTACACTTGAATGATTTTTTGGATTGGGTATCGACTTGTGCACATCTCCGATGGTAAAGCATATGAGAACACATGAGGTGATCAAGACATTTCAAAAACAAAATAAACAACATAATAATCATATTTTTGAATGATTATTGATTTGAATCAAAAGAAAAAAAATGCAAGTTTGAAGAGAAATTTAGATGCATGAGTACGTATTTTTACAGTGCGCCAATTTATGCAGAATAAACTTGAAATGAAAAGCAGTAAAATTTGCAAACACATTTTGATCATTTGAATGGAACAAAACAACCAACGTCTTTGATTTGCTGGTCCTATGCAATTGATGCATATCGAGAAAACGCCTCGAACGCTGTAAACGTACCCATACATGGTAATAAGGTTACTGCATCGGTTCGAAGATGTGCACAAGTCAAGTGAAATACACCCTGAATTCCTTTTATTGAAATATGCATCACAAAAAAGAAAATTTTAATAAACTCCATAAAAGCTCAATAGTAAACACACTGTCATTACTCCGTACACACTAGCACTACGATACACTTAGTCCGTGCTGATCAGATTTTGGTCAGGGAAGATATCAAAAGTGGAAAGAGAAGTTATTTGGTATTTGCGCGGATGAAAGGGGGGATATTATAACTGATGTTCATGAGCAATAATTGTGAATTCTTTATCTACATGTTGTTCTAATATACATTCTATACAAAGTCATGTATATAGTCTGCAGTTGGTTTGCGTCGCAAAATTCATTTGTCAATTATAACTGATTATTTTAGTACTAATCTCAAATCTAAACAAAGTAATTTGATGTACGGCTATAATTTACTTCAAATCTTAAAAGCAATTAACCAGAATACAAATTTTTATGTGTACATCTATACATTCTTTAACACATACACACACGGAGAAAGGCCATTCCCTGTTCAGATTGACAATTCGGCATTTGATTTTTTGGACGGGGGGGGGGGGGGGCATACAAAAATAAATGACATGACCGTCATTTAAATATTCTTGGAAGACAGACATTTTTGCCGAATTCAGTTTTGAGATTTTTTTTAAAATGTGTCACTCCGACCACAAAGTATGTGCATTTTGAGGAATGTAACTGTTTTATAATTATGTTGTTACAAGAAGTATTTCGAGATTTCAGTATCCCTGCCTGATAGTCTAGGTATTTTTTTATATATATATAAATAATTTCTGTCAGTGAATTTGGGAGATAATTTTAAAAGCTAGGGTAGGGATACTTGACACACTGGTTGAATACGGATAATTATTATTTATTCTTTTGTATATTGAACTCTCTCTCTCTCTCCCCTCTCTCTCTCTCTCTCTTTCTGTCTGTAACCACCCGTTGGGGCAATGATAGGTATAAAATCCTACGCAGTTTGTGCTGTGCCATTTATTATGCCTTTGGACAGATCAAGGATTTTTTTCAGGCGGGATGTCAAAACTTCATAAATTGAATAATAATTTTACTTTGGACAGGAAATTAACCCAAACGCCCAAACTGAAAGAGAAACTAGACGTACATGTATTATGAGCAATGAACTCACTAAATGATATCCCCTGCCTCCCATATGGTTATAATGGCAAAGTCCATATTTCGCTAAACCCATACGTGTCAGATCAAAAAGTAAAATAGGAGGTGCATAATGGTAATCTGTAATAAACTTAAGATTCTTTGAAAGTTTAATTAAATTTCTCTAAGTGGTGTAAGAGGATTTGCGGATAAGAGATGGGTACCCCAAAGCGTAACAGACAGACGAACGGACATAACGATTACCTCCCACTTTTCAGGCTGGGGATATAATAAACGTGAAATATAAATCACAGGAATGGGAACATTGGGAACTTTCTCGAATACCTTCTCAAACGTATGTGTCGAACTTGGACAACAGACAAAAGAATTTTTAAAAAGCTAGTTTTAGGTAGAATGTGGAATTCTCACGAGGAGTTTACTCTCTCTTCCTATATGCTTTTTCTAATAATCATTACTTATTTATGTCTAGAAATTTAATTCACATTAAATTCTATTTTCATTATCATTGTACCAAAGAATCAAACTCGTTTATTATGCCACACGCGTGAGGTATAATGTTTTTGACCCGTCAGTCAGTCAGTCTTTTTTTTTTTTTTTTTTTTTAGGTCAGCGCAACATCTCATAAACCACTGTACAGAGTTTTGTCGAACTTTGCAGATATTTATAGGAGACAATGTGTGTGTAGATTTGCACATCACCAGGAAATTCCGAATTCTTTATTTTTCGGGAATTTCCGCACTTTTACATTTAGATTTTGGCCATATCTTGAATATAGAGGTGAGCAGTTTTTTCAGCGCAACTCCTCATAAACCGCTGCACACAATTTCGTCAAACTTTGCAGATATTTAGGACACAATGTGTATAGATATGCATATTACAAGGAAATTACGATTCCTTAATTTTTTCTGGGAATTTCAGCACTACTTCGACTTTTGGGGGAGCGTGGGGTATGTGAACGTGCTCACTTTTTCTTTCATAGTGCATAAAATTATAAATAACTTTAAATTAAATTATATTAGGTCTAATAAAGCCAATACACAATATTTATTTGATAATAATTGATCATAAAGAAATCCAATCTGTTTCAGACGTTTTTCTTACATTATTTTTATGAGAGTGTTATGCATGTTTTATTACCCCCCACCCCCCACCCCCTCATATCACGGGAAAATTATCTTCAAAAGGTGAATGATTCCTAATAATGCCTGCTTTTTTAAAATGAATTTGATGAAGTTAAACCATGTACTTAATTAACCGTAAATTTTATTTACAACATGTACAGACAAGAGTAATGTTTATTTTTGAAAAAATTACTTGCATTTTTTTTTTCAATCAACCCCACTGAGTTTTCAACCATTGATATTTTCCCTGACCAAATAAAATGATTGGCATGGGCCACGTATGTCCAAGCATCTTTTACTGTTGAGTTAGCAATGGATTACATGACTTCTGAGATGCATTTTTCAATAAAAGTAAAATAGGATAATTCTTTTGATATGTGCACATCCCTGTAACGATAGCAGTAGTCAGGTAAATGTTTTTATCACTGCGTTTGACGCGTTTTCTCGACCTGTATGGGTGTTTGATGTACATGTATGTATTCCGTGTTAGTTTATTTTCTATATTGCAGCAAATGCATTCAAAAATAATTTAATTCTCGGTAAAGTTCTATTTTTTGTTGAATTTTTACTTTTCAAACATGTATTTGGTCAGTTTATGGACTTCTAAAAACTTTGTTATCGGAGATGTGTACACGTCGACAGTCAGGCTAGAAAATCACTCAAGTGAAGCAATCGTACAAGGCTATATATAGCAGGTACAGATGACCAAAAATTTTCAATTAAATATGGCGGAATCGAAGAAATATGGCGGACAAAGGCGTACAGAAATGTAGTAAGTCGTACAAAGATGAAAAATGATGGCTTTTTAAGAGTTCATGTCAGCTTTAATCTCATTTGTATTCGTAGGTGTTTAACAATGACAGACCTGAGGTTTACATCATGGTAGAAAGTACAAGATACATGTTTGCCAAAAATAAAATCTTAAAATGACAGTTTGGTACTTGGGTCCGACAAAACGCATGTTGCCCTCGAACTCAATAAAGGTAAAGTATTCAAGCTCAAAAGTCCATTCAAACAATGAAATTAGAAGTACAGTAAACACAAATCTCTGAAACATGATTCAAATTAATTTTAGATAGAAAAGTTAAAGCCATTACGTTTATCATAGTGCTTGGTTGTTAGATTACCATTACCGTCTTTTTCAAGTAAGATATCCAAGTATGAAACAGATGTGTACATGTACGTCTTGAACAAAGTCTGCTTCATATGAATATAAAAAAAGGTTTACAAATAACGGGGTGACACTGACACTGATTCCCACTGAGATTGATTTTATAATACAGGTATCCATGAAACATAT